AAAAAAAAAAAAAAAATAAAAGGTGTAGCATGTCTGCCAAGTCTCAGCCTTCAGGTAGGAGAGGAAGATGTGAGGTACCAGCTACTTTAAACTGTGTGTTACTTACTTGTTGTAGTTCCTAGTTGCCAGCACAGCTTGGGCAATCAGCTCCTGAATATCCAAGGGCAGAAGTGGCAGGTCCCCAAGGACACGGATACACACACCATGCTTCTTCAAGCTCTCCCTACACCCAACAACAAGAGTGAGGACTACAGAAAACAGATCAGTCTCTACTGCACAAGTGCCACGTTTGCCTTGCGTAACATCCACCAAATGAAAACAACAGGCATAGCTTCAACAAAGCTGGGAATTAGAAAAAGGCAAAATGACCAGATGTTTTTCAGGTGTTGAAAGCTGGCTTAGATTTCATCATCCCAAACCACTGCATAAAGGGAAACTGATCATTCCCCATACAAGTTCCTGAGGTACAGACATAATCAAAGGACTAGAAAATGATCACAGATTAGGCATTCCTACCTGAAGTTACGAAAATCCACATGGAAAACAGAATACAACTATAGACTCTGGGCACCTCTAACTAATCAAAAATTAAGATGACTAACGGTCACCCACAGAGCAGCACAACTACTTTCTGGTGTAAGGAAAGATTAACATATTGGTGAGGGTGGGATAGAGGTGGTGGAGTGAACATCAGATGAAATAGGAAATCATCCACGCCTGCCATAGCATTATTCTGAGTAGACAGGACATCCCATGGGATCTTACAGGTTCCTGCTGCTGTCTGTCTGACACTACACACTCCCTGACGAAGGGCTGCATTGGGCAGAAAGCAGGGAAATGGCCTCTTTGAATCACAACGTACTGCAGTGCTTAGATAGCCCTGATCTTCCCAAATTCTACTAGCCCACACACACCATCCTCTCCCTCCCACTCTTCCAGCTGCATTCCCTCACTGCCTTTCAAATTTACTTCAACCAGATAAGGACCCCTTCCATGCACCGCTCTTCACACCAGTCAGGCATGGGGAAACAAACATATCCACTGAGCAACAGGGCACTGTAACACCACTCCCTGCTCACTCAAACCTGTACTAGTTCCATCTACAAGCAATACATGAACTAGTTCTCCAACTCCAACAAGTGACTTAACACACCATGTGCCTGTAAGCAAAAGTCTCAAGTTACTGCAAAGCAAGTTGCTGAGCTAAACTCTGATCTGCCAAGAATACTGTGACACAATTTAAGACAAGGCTTTGATACTTCATGAAAGCAAGGCATCTAGCACCCTAGTGCTAAGCAGGAATTTCTAATTGTGCTGTGCTTATCTGAAAGGTGTACTGTCCCAACTGTTTGGATGGGATTGATGCACATTAAGCCATAGGATACAGACACAAATCTGGTGTGCGGCGGGACTGTGCGTGCTCGGGTGCTGTACAGCCCATCCAGGTAGGCAGAGCCCCTCAACACAAATCTCTGGCTGGAGGTAGGTGGAGAACAGGTTCCTTCATTTAATCCATTTTCACAACTTCCAACATCCCTGTTCTGCCTCTTAATCATGTTCTGCTTTAGTTCTACCCTGTGGGATACAGACATGAGGGGATTCTTACTGTTCTTCCAGTAGGCGGCTAAATTTCTGTCTTGCCAGATCCATTAGTCCATCCACCTCCTCCTTGGAGCGTTTAAAGTTCTCAATACTAAAGGCATAAACAGTGACCTCCCGAATGCCCAGATTCAAGCACCACCGTAGTGTCTGCAGGAAGACAAAATTTAATGGAAAACAAAAGTCAGACAAGCAGACTCAGACGATCAGACAGGTCAGCAAGACACAGCTTATCCACTGCTAAAACCTTCCTGTCTTTTCCCACTATCCTGAGACTGGATCAAAAGACACAACCATCAAGAGCTGACAATGAAACCCACTTGATGAGAATTTCAGATTCATTTTAAAGAACAGGAGAAAAATAAGGAAGTGAATCCACAACAGATTTGGGTCTAATCCACCCAGGGAAAGCACTTCTTGTAGAAAACATTATATAATACTGTACCTTTCAAAACCTTTTCAGAGAAATTCAACCTGTTTCACAGAATTAAAAGCTTCAAGATCTGCAAGGCAGATATTTTAATCGAGTGTAAAACTGAGGGGAAAAAAATAGCTTACTAGAATGACTCTGCAAAATAACAGGAAGAGTGAGGAGCTGAAGTTGGGTACTCTGATGACTAACATCAGCTCCAACCACAGGCCTGACTCCAGTGAAGAAAAGGAACACAATACACCAGTCAAGCGGTAAACACAGCCAGCTGGTGAACACAGCTGAAACTTTCAACACATAACTTCAAGGCAGCAAACATCCCACCTGTGCCAGCTTATCAAAGCCTTGCGAATGCCCCTGCTGTCTTTCCACATGACACTTTTGGGCATAACGGCGATTGCCATCCATGATGAAGGCAACATGCTTGGGCATTGGACCTGCCTAGAAAATAAGGACAAACAAAACAGACCAGAAAGCAAACAGCCAAGCTGGTTCTCTTGCATCGCAGAGAGTTTAGTCCCACTGTTCCTGGCTGCACTGCCTATTTGTAGGAGTGCAGCTCGTATCTGCCAGCTTCAAATCTGAAGCTGGAAAGAGTAAGATGCTAATTACCTCTTTGTTGATCCCAGTTTAGGCTCTCTAAAAAGCCTGTCAGTATGGACAATTGCCTAAACTGAAAAGCAACTTTGCCCTCCTCATTTCTTTCGTGTGACAGAGAACTAGTACTCAGGAGAGAGAGCAGCACTGCCCAGCTACCTCTCTGCAGCCACGGGGGAGAGTGCACACAGTTTTACACTGCCGTAACTGTAAGTATTCTTTATTTCAGAGTTCAAGGGCATTTTCACAGACACAATTAAGTTAAGAGAAAACAAAATCAGTCATGAGACTTTCCCCCACTTAAGAGGAGTATTCCTTTCCACTGACCTCATTAGGTCTGCACAGATCCTTTTGCGAGAAGGACAGCATCACCAGTCTCAAGACTCTGCTGAGCAAGGGTAGAATTTTCCTGGAACTGGTGAGTTATTCTTCTAATCAAGAGAAACTCAGTTTAATTTCTTAGACTCATAATCCGACCATCTTGCTTCTCTCCCTCCTTCTTGTGCCCTGCCTTCATCAGCAAGGGCACAAAACACAGAAGCCTGGGAGTATAAGCTCGTTATTGGCAACCACTGCCTACAGCCCTCCTCATTTGCAAGACTAAGCTTAAGTAATTTTCCATTCCCAGATGCTGTTTAGGAATGTATATCCAGTGCCAGCATTAATATGTACCCTTGCTAGCAACACTACCTTTCTAGAACAGAGCAGTCACAGAGACAGTTCCACTCTGAACCCTGATGAACCTGTCAATTCTTTAGCACAGGTAACCAAATTAATTCCTTACCTTAATGATGTTGGCACAAAATCTCTCTATGATGGTCAGCTCGCCCTCTCTGATCCACGACATGTTTTACCGGGAGCTCCTTTTCTTTTTCAATGGGAAGATGAAAATAAAGGGGTTAGAAGTACAGAAGATTCTGTCTGAGCCCAAAGCAATGCAACAAACCATCACCTTGGAAAAATAAGCTTTGGCTAGCTGCTTTGGAGCCCTTTTTATCACCTGTGCAAGTACTTCAATAAGCAGACAATGGGGGAGCTCAGAAATGACCTCTGGAATTTTCCAGATGTACATCATCAGAGTAGATTCTGCACTAGCTGGTAGCAAGAAAAAACATTACTGCTTCTTCCAGCCAAACTAGCTGGTGAGTTAGTAGAGGCCTACAATTTGGGCTACCACCAGGCGAGTCACAGGGTGGCAGCAGTGCAAACTGACCTTCGATGCTTTTGTGTTGGAGTTGTTGGAAATCCTTCAAATGAAGCAACCACCTACATCACCGACTACCCTGCACTTGCATCGCCACTGATAGTTCTTTTCCCTTACAGACTCTGGAGCTGTAAAAATATTGGGTTTTTTACCACATTATTTGCACATCGAATACTAAGATCTGGCTTGAGCTAACAAGACACAAGAGTCTGCTGAACTTCCGTGCTAATCTTCAATTCTCTCAGCTAGGAACCCTGAGAGACATGGGCAAAGCAGCTACGAAGAGAGAGCTGTGGGGGCAACGGTCCAGATCCAACCACTTGGTACCCACCTAGGGACCGAAGCAGATTCAAATTACACCAACTGCATTAATTTTCCGTATGGGCCTTCGCTGCCTCTTCCCTCAGGAAGGGATGTCTAGCCACAGATGCAGCCACAGAACATTAAGGCAAGAACTGCTGAACCTCGGGCTCTGTTAGTAAAGCTCTTAATGCTCTCCTTGAATAGCTCAGGCTGAAAACACACCCTCTTCCAATGCCACCTTTGGCTGTTAACAGCAATCAATCTTTCACATACCATTTCACACGGTCATCTTAAAAAAAAATAAGCTACACAAGGAAGCCCCTCGTCTATAAGCCAGGGCCAGAGCACCAGAAAGGCCATGACTCTCTCAGGCCCACACCGGCTGGGTGCAGCCAGCACCGGCCGCTCTCTCCGGGACGCGGCTCTCCTTCCCGACGGCCTGGCTGCCACCCACCGCCGAGCAGCGAGCAGACGCGGAGGAGAAGACGAAAAGGACACCCAGACCACCGCCGCCACCCCCGGTTCTCCCCCCGGTGCCCGCCCGTTACCTCGCCCGGCGGCGCCGCCTCAGCCTCCCCCAGAGGGTGACGTGCCCTTCCGCCTGCGTCACCCGCCGGCGCCCAGGGCGGGAAGCGCGCGCAGGCGCCAAGCGCCGC